ACGAGCAGTATCATCATGATCATCAGCATCATCATCAGCATCATCAGCATCGGCAACATCGTCATCAGCATCCACAACAACTTCGCCACCAACAGCATCATCATCATCAACAACAGCATCACCATCATCAAAAACAACAGCATCATCAGATTCATCGTCATCATCATCTGCGGCAGCAGCATCATCACAATCCGCAGCATCATCATCATCAGCAGCAGCATCATCATCATAATCAGCATGAGCACCATCATCATCCGCGGCAGCATCATCATCATAATCCTCAGAAACAGTATCATCGACAGCATCATACTCAGCATCATCATCAGCATCAGCATCAACATCATCCGCATCAGCATCATCATAATCAGCATCAACATCATCAGCATCTGCATCCACATCGCATCAGCATCATCATCAGCAGCATCGCCGCATCCTCACTTTCACCAGCACCATCATCAGCAGCAGCATCATTATCATCAGCCGCATCAGCATCATCGCCAGCAGCATCATCATAATAAGCATCATCATCATTCTCTGCATGGTCGTCATCATCAGCAGTATCACCGTCGTCATCGTCATCATCATCAGGAGTAGCATCATCATCATCATCAGCAGCAGCATCATCAGCATCATCGTCATGATCGACATCCTCATCATCATCAACAGCAGCATCATCAGCATCAGTGTCGGCAGCATCAGCATCATCAGCATCAGAAGCACCATCGTCAGCAGCATCATCGTAATATGCATCATCATTATGTTTATGGTCATCATCACCAGCAGCAGCCGCATCACCGTCATCATCGTCATCATCATCAGGAGCAGCATCACCATCATCAGAAGCAGCAGCATCAGCATCATCATCAGCATCCTCATACTCAGCATCATCATCATCATTATCAACAGCATCATCATCAGCATCATCAGCATCATCAGCCGCATCCTCATTCGCATCCCCATCCTCGTCCTCCTGAGGCACCAAGCTGCTCCTCACCCTCAGGTCGCCAGCCTTACACAAGAGGCACCTCAAGCTAGCCGTCACACAGTTGCACGAAAAAAGATTGGGAGCCGAGTTGCTGGCCAGTATGCTTCAGCAAATCCGAACATGCCATGACAAAGTCCACGCCGCACTGCAATCCAGAATGTTTACCGCTTGTCAGAGGGGTTACATCAAGGCGGGAGCGTGCAATGCGGTATGGTGCTGGGACAGGGCGGCAGCAGGCTACCAGCTCGAGGACCTCTTGCCCGCTGGGGTGTGGAGCGCTCAAGCGTGGCACTGCCCTATCGCGGAGGAAGAGAGGAAGGAGACGCTCGGAGGAAAGGACATCGGCTTGCGGCCACCTTTGAAGCTTTGTGGTAGTGACGACCCTGTGGAGCATCTACGGTTGATTCGAGCTTCATGTCTTCATCCAAGAGAATATCGTCACAGACCTGTGTTCCAAACTGATGAGCCTGAATCTGGGTTCAAGTATTGTGGCCCGAACATCCGGGCTGTGGATATACGGCTCTGGAGGGCCGACTGTATGTGGACGGGTCATGGTTCAAAAGCGTCAGCCCCGAATTCTCCAGGGCGGGGTGGTCTGTTATTTCAGTCTTGGAGGAGACTGGGCGTGTGCAGTGTATAATGTCGCCCACCCACCCCCGCCCATTCTTCTCCTCAGATCTCACCAGCGTCAGAGCTTGCGCCCTACTGCATGGCCGTCCAGTTCGGCGGGAGCTCTGATAATGTATACAGTGGTTGTTTAAATATTTTTCGCCGGGCCCAAGAGGGTGTCCAGGCCAGGCGCTCGTATCGTGTGCCACACGCTGGATGTATGCTGGAAGCTCTGCGTCACGGATTCGATTCTCCAAGTCGAAGGCCAAGTCGCCGACAGCCCTGGCCACTCGCCAGAGCAGCTCGAACACAAGTATGGCAGCGACCATGCTGGCCGTGCGGCTAAGGCCGCGGCTTTGCGCCATCCGCGGCCGTCGCCAAACGAAGTTGAGCTAGTTGCCCGCAGATTGCACGTCTCGCGTGCAAAGTGCAAGCTGGTTGCCAAAGTTTTGCCTCTTTGGCCCAGATTGGACCTCACGGGAGTCCCCGGGGAAAAGCCCCCTTCTGCTCCGAGACCTCCCCCTCCGCCCGCTCACGAGTGGCAGTGGGAAGGAAAGTTTTGGATGTGTTCATCGTGATTTCGTACGGCCAGAGGGACCTGGAAACCGAAGCCTTACCGTTGCAAAGGTGCTACGACCATCAAAGGTATCTCAGGTCAGACCTTGAAAGATCTCGAACAGGCCTGTGTAGTTCGACACCAACAATGGTGAAGTTATTATTGTCATCTGCGCCAAATGCTGCTACTACACATCTGGTGGCGAAGTCAGGGGACTCCATGCCAAGTGCACAGGGCCCCTGACCTCAGACCTGCGCGACAACGGACGCCGTCACACGTGGTCTTGCATCCTGAAGGGTAAGCATCCTAAGAGCGGCGTCCATCTCGGCCTGGAGCCGATGTGAGATGTCTCCCAGTCGTGAACGACTTTTTGGTTCTGCCTCCCCAAGTCGGCAGCTCAGGCTGCCTGCTGTGGGTGACTCGCGTGTACAGTGTGGTCTGGTGGTTCATGTGAAAAACGTATTCCTCCTGATCCTGGTCCTCACCCTTGCCATCTTCCTCGTCCTCCTCGTCCTCCTCATCCTCTTCGTCCTTCTGCTGTTCACCCTCATCCCCGCCTCCACCCCCCACATACCAAGACTCGATGACGCTGTCGATGGCTGAATGTGCAACCGCGAATCGGATGGCGAGCACGTGGGCGACAGCGCCACACGCTCGACCGAAAGCTCGCCCCAACCGGAAGAGCGCACACGACTTCTTGGGGAGGCCCCCGTCGCACACTGCCTCCCTCTCGGGAGGCACCTGCAGGCACCTGGCGTGCACACTCTGGGAGAGCGGGCCAGAGCAGCAGCGACAGGAACTCTGCGACTACAGGGCAGTTTTTAATACATAGGATTTTAATTATCCCAGTGCGACCCTACCTAGGAGTTGGAGCCCATAGGAAAGCAGCATAAGCTAAGCTAAGCTAAGCTAAGCTATGCTAAGATAGCTAAGCTAAGCTAAGCTGCGATGATATAAGCTAAGCTAAGCTAAACTAAGCTAGGTTAGGCTAAGCTAAGTTAAGATGAGATAAGCTAAGCTAAGCTAAGCTAATATCAGGTAAGCTACGCTAAGCTAGGCTAAGCTAAGATGGTATAAGCTAAGTTCAGCTAAGCTAAGCTACGTTAAAATAAGTTAAGCTGAGCTAGGCTAGGCTAAGCTAAGCTAAGCTAGACTGAGCTAAGTTGATATCAGCTGAGCTAAGCTAAGCTAAGCTAAGATGAGATAAGCTAAGTACAGCTAAGCTAAGCTACGTTTAAATAAGTAAGCTAAGCTAGGCTAGGCTAAGCTAAGCTAGGCTAAGCTAAGCTAAGCTAAGCTAAGCTGAGCTAAGCTAAGCTAAGCTAAGCTAAGATGAGATGAGCAACGCTAAGCTAATAGTACACCCATGTTATGATATGCGATGCTGCGCTATGATATGATACGCAATGCTATGCTATGCTGTGCTCTGATATGGTAAAGCTCAGCGAAGCTAAGATGAAGGTAAGCTAAGCTAAGATAAAACTGAGGTAATATGAAGCTAAGCTAAGGTAAGATGAAATAAGCTAAGTTAAGATGAGATAAACAACGCGAAGAAGGGAACGTCACTGGGGGAACCGCGGGGCGGATCCTGGGGGAACCGCCCGGGGCGTGCCCCACTGCCCGGCCCTTTAAGCCTCAGAGTAAGAACCCTTCTAGGCAGAGCCTAGGTAGGGAAAAAGTTCCGGATTTTAATACATGATCGATTGATGAAAAAAATGATGCATGAACTCATCGTTGTTTTTGAGACTAAATCTCTGCATTTTTAATACATGATCCGCACTATACTACGCCACTGTACTAGCGAACCCCGCCCCGCAGGGCCCAAGCCGACACTGGGATGTCGGAAACTCCCGGTGGGGTCCACTTGGGTGCAGGCATCCACTCAGGCTCCGAATCCCGCCAGTGCACTTTCGGAACCCCGACCTGGGGGTGTAAGTCTCACATGTGGCCGATCATCGGAGCAGGACGAGTCGAGACAAAGCTTTGGACGCCAGAAATGGGTACGGAAAAAATGGGTACAATGCCCAACAACAAATGTTGCCCCAAACCAGCAGCGGCCGCTGTTGGGCAGGCGGCCTTCTGTCTCGAGTGGACGCAGGCCGCGGCGGCGTGGACAGCGAATCCTGTTCAAAATGAACAAGAATTGCTGTTGGGCGTTGCACCCATTCTTCTTTCCGTACCCGTTTCGGGCGTCCAGGAGAGCCAGCTCAAAATCGTTCTCCGAGCACCTCCCGGAACGCACCCGTTCTCCGAGCCGAGCCCAGACGTGGCGGCGGCGGCGGCGGCGGCGGCGGCGCCGAGCAGCAGCGGCAGCAGCGGGGGCAGCGGCCGCGGCGGCAGGCTGCGGAGGGGGGGGGAGCGAGAGCAGCAGCTGGCGGCCGAGGAAGCCCTCGGGCGGGGGCAAGCTCCGGCGGCGACGTCTGCAGCCTGCCCCCCCCAACCGTCGATTCGCCGGAATCGATTGGAGGCTGGGGTTGACTACCTACCAGACCACCCCAACCCAACCCGAAGACCCGAATTTCGGGTTGGGGGGGGTAAGGGTTCCACTCGTGTTTTTCGATGTTTCCCGACCCCCCCACACTGGAAATCGAGGGTAAATCTGAGCCTTCGGGTTGGGTTGGGGTGGTTTGGTGGGTGGTGAGGGGTGGGCCTCGGATTTCGCCACGTGCTCGACGAAGTCCGAACCCTGCCCCCGCCCCCCTCGAGTTGCCTGAACCGCTCATCGACGAAGGCAGGGCTCGGATTTCGCCGCCGAAGCTTGGCGCGGCCGCCGGAGCCGCGGGGCCCCCAGGGGCGTGCAGCAGACAGCAGCGTCAGCCCGAGGCCGGCCGGCGACCGCAGCCGGGTCTCCTGTGGCGCCGTCGCCCCAGCCTGGGCATCGGGCGCCGAGGCACGGGCCGAGCGGTCTCGGAGCGGCGGCGGCTCCGAACAAGATCTGGCCGTCGCCGATGGGCCCCAGACCGACGGGCCCGTCCCCCCCGCAGGACCCCAGGCCCCCCTGAGGTGCGGGCGTTACACTTCGTTCACACCGAACGAGCTCGCAAGATTTCGGGCCCTGAGACCATCACGGATCGATCCCGCTCGAGAAATGCCGCAGAAAGATGGGGTCTGGGGCTCCGCTCGTGCTGTTTCGCAGTGTTCTATTTCTGTGTTCGCGGCGTCTGATCTCAGGGCACGCGACCAGGCCCCACTACAGGCTTTCCCCGATCTGCGAGGCCGAATGCTCGAGTTTCGGGGGCCATCGCCTGAAAGTGGGCGGCTGCTGGTATCTGTATATCCGCCGATCTGGCGTGTGAACTACAAGGAGCCCCAGCAAGAGCTTCAGCTCTGAGCCTAAGCAAGAGGTGGAGCTCCCTATAGGGCCACGAAACGAACGCGGGCAGCGCGGAAGTGGGCCCGAAGCGCCGTGCTAACCTTGCCACGGGAGCCTTCGATGGAGCTCTACAAGGGGCCACGAAACATGAAGGGTGCGCCGAAGTGGATCCGAGACGCCGTGCGAACCCCGCCACTGAACCCTCTGGTTGAGATCCCCATGGGGCCACGAAACGCGTGAAGGGGTGCGCCGAAGTGAGCCCGAGGCGCCTTGCGAACCCTGCCAATGGAGTCGTCGGTGGAGCTCCCTATGGGGCGACGAAACGTGTGATGTGTGCGCCGAACTCGACCCGAGGCGCCGTGCGAACCCCGCCACTGGAGCCTTCGGTGGAGCTCCACATGGGGCAACGAAACATGTGAGGGGTGCGCCGAAATGAAACCGAGGCGCCATGCGAACCATGCCACTCGAGCCTTCGGTCGAGCTCGCTATGGAGCCACGAAACGTGTGAGGGGTGCCTTGAAGTGGACCCCAGGCGCCATGCGAACCCTGCTACTGGAGCCTGCCATGCATCTCCACAAGAGGCTACGAAACGTGTGATGGGTGCGCCGAAGTGGACCCGAGGCGCCTTGCGAACCCTGCCACTGCAGCTGTGGTGGCGCTCCAAACGAGGCCACGAAACGTATGAGGGGTGCGCCGCGAAGTGGACCCGAGGCGCCATGCGAACCCCGCCACTGGAGCCTTCGATGGAGCACCCTATGGGGCCACAAAACCTGTGATGGGTGCCCCGAAGTGGACCCGAGGCGTCGTGCGAACCCTGCCACTCGAGCCTTCGGTGGAGCTCACTCTAGGGCCACGAGACGTACGAGGGGGGCACCGTGCTAACCTTGCCACGGGAGCCTGCGGAAGAGCTCCACATGGAGCGACGAAACGTGTGAGGGGTGCGCCGAAGTGGATCCGAGGCGCCGTGCGAACCCTGCCTCTGGAGCCTTCGGTTGAGCTCCCTGGGGGAAACGAAACGAGTGAGGGGTGCGCCGAAGTGGACACGAGGCGCAGTGCGAACCCTGCCACTGGAGCCTCCGGTGTAGCTCCACATGGAGCGACGAAACGTGTGAGGGTGCGCCGAAGTGAACCTGAGGCGCCAAGCGAACCCTGCCACTGGAGCCTCCGGTGGAGCTCCACATGGGGCCACGAAACTTATGAGGGGTGCGCCGAAGTGGATCTGAGGCGCCGTGCGAACCATGCCACTCGAGCCTTCGGTCGAGCTCGCTATGGAGCTACGAAACGTGTGAGGGGTGCGCCGAAGTGGACACGCGGCGCCATGCGAACCCTGCCACTGGAGCCTTCGGTGGCGCTCCCTGCGGGGCCACGAAACGCTTGAGAAGGGCACCGAAACGGATCCGAGACGCCGTGCGAACCCTGCCACTGGAGCCTTCGGTGGAGCTCCACATGGGGCCACGAAACGTATGAGGGGTGCGCCGCGAAGTGGACCCGAGGACCCTTTCACCGGAGCCTTCGGTGGAGCTCCCTACGGGGCCACGAAACGTGTGAGGGGTGCGCCAAAGTGGACCCGAGGAGGCGCCATGCAAACCCTGCCACTGGAGAGGTGGGTTGAGCTCCCTTTGGGGCCAATAAACGTGTGAGGGGTGCACCGAAGTTGACCCGAGGCACCATGCGAACCCTGCTACGGGAGTCGTCGGTGGAGCTCCTGGTGGGGCCGCGAAACGTGGGAGGAGTGCGCCGAAGTGGACCCGAGGCGCCATGCGAACCCTGCCACTCGAGCCTTCGGTGGAGCTCCGCATGGGGGGATGCGCCGAAGAGGACCCGAAGTGACATGAAACCCTGCCACTCGAGACTTCGGTGGAGCTCCTTCTGGGGCCACGAAACGTGTGAGAGGTGCGCGGACATGAACCGGAGGCGCCATGCAAACTACCTATGGGGCCACGACACGCAAGAGGGGTGCGCCGAAGATGACCCGAGGCGCCATGCGAACCCTGCCACTCGAGCTGCGGAGGAGCTCCACATGGGGCCACGAAACGAATGAGGGGTGCGCTGCCGAAGCCAATGGAGCTCCCTATGGGGCGACGAAACGTGTGAGGGGTGCACCGAAGTTGACCCCAGGCGCCATGCGAACCCTGCCACGGGAGTCTTCGGTGGAGCTCCCTGTGGGGCGACGAAACGTGTGATGGGTCCGCCGAAGTGGACCCGAGTGGCCATGTCAACCCTGCCACTGGAGCCTTCGGTGGAGCTCCATCCACATGGGGCCACGAAACGTGTAAGGGGTGCGCAAAAGTAGACTTGAGGCGCTATGCGAACCCCGCCACTGGAGCGTTCGGTTGAGCTCCGCATGGAGCCACGAAACGTGGGAGGGGTGCGCCGCGAAGTGGACCCGAGGGGCCATGCCAACCCTACCACTGGAACCTTCGGTGGAGGGCCCCGAAACGTATGAGGGGCGCGACGAAGTGGACCCGAGGCGTCATGCGAACCCTGCTACAGGAGTCGTCGGTGGAGCTCCCTATGGCGCTACTACACGTGTGAGGGGCGCCCAGAAGTGGACCCGAGGATCAGTGCGAACCCTGCCACTGGAGCCTTCGGTGGAGCTCCACATGGGGCCGCGAAACGTGCGAGGGGTGCGACGAGAAGGACCCGAGGCGGCGCCGTGCGAACCCTGCCATTGGAGCCTTCGGTGAAGCTCCACATGGTGCAACGAAACGTATGAAGTGTGCCCCGATGCGAACCCTGCCACTGGAGCCTTCGGTGGAGCGCCCCATGAGGCGACGAAACGTGTGAGGGGTGCACCGAAGTTGACCCGAGGCACCATGCGAACCCTGCCACTGGAGCCTTCGGTGGAGCTTCCCGTGGGGCCACGAAACGATGAAGGGTTGTTGTTCGTTTTTCGGGCGATGGAACTACCCTAACTCATGAGTAACTCTCGGCCTCGCGATTCGCAGCACTTCGGCCGCACGTCGCTAAGAATCTGCTAACTGAGGGGTAAGCTATGGACACCACGCCAAGGGATAAGGAAAGGGAAGAGGAGCGAGGGAAGGGGAGGGAGGACCAGAGGGAGGGAGGAAACGGGCACAAACAGAGCCAACACAACAGGCGCACTCCGCCACTGCATAGGAGAACGCGCGCGTAACAAAGTGTGGCGCTTTTCGCGCTAGGGGGGGTGGGCGCCGCGAAGTGGGCCCGACGAGTCACTGTGCGAACCCTGCCGCAAGAGCTGCGGTGGAGCTCCCTATGGGGCTGCGATACGTGAGGGGCGCGCCGAAATGGACCGAGGCGCCGTGCGAACCATGCCACTCGAGCCTTCGGTGGAGCTAGGGCCACGAGACGTACGAGGGGGGCACCGAAGTGGACCCGAAGCGCCACGCAGACCCTGCCATTGGAGCCTTCGGTTGAGCTCCTGACGGGGCCACGGCACGTGTGAGCGGTGCGCCGAAGTGGACCCGAGGAGGCAACACGCGAACCCTGCAACTGGGGCCGTCGGTGGAGCTCTTTCATGTGGCCACTACACGTGTGAGGGGCACGCCGACGTGAGCCCGAGGCGGCTTGCGAACCCTGCCACTGAACCCTCTGGTTGAGCTCCCTATGGGGCGACGAAGCGTGTGAGGGGTGTTCCGGGGTGGACACGAGGCGTCATGGGAACCTCCAAGTAGAGCTTTCGGTGGAGCTGCATTGGGGCCACGAAGCGTTGAGAGTGCGCCGAGATGGTGCTGATACTGAAAGCGATGAGGACGGCGGTGTGTTTGTTGATGGTGGTGATGCTGATGACGATGGTGGTAATGATGGTGGCGTTTGGGATTATGATGATGATGATGATGATGATGATAATGATGACGATGATGATGATGATGGTGATATTGATGGTGATGGTGATAAAGATAATGATAGTGGTATATGATGATGATGTTGATGATGATGAGTATGATTATGATTATGATTATGATGATGAAAAAAACAGAAAAATAGTAATAATAGTTGTAATACGATTAGTAATAACGATGATGATGATGGTGGTGGAGGTGTTCCTGATGATGGTGGTGATGGCGAGTGTCAGGATAGTGATATTGTCGGTGATGATGGCGACGATGATGATGATGATGTTCATGACGATGATGACGATGACAACAATGATGATGGTGATGATGATGATGATGGTGATGGTGATGATAATGATGATGGTGATGGTAATGGTGATGATGGCGGTGATGGTGAACACGATTATGATCATAATGTTGTTGCTGCGGCTGCTGTTTTTGCTGACGCGGATGGTGGTGTTGTTGAGGAGTATGCTGGCGATGCTGATGATGATGCCCATGACGATGGTGGGGATAGCAACGACGATGGCCCTGATGATGATAATGCTGCTGATGAGGATGATGATGGTGATGCTGATGATGATGATGATTGTGATGATGGCGGTGGTGATGACGTCTGCGATGAGGATCATGACTATGATCATGATGTTGTTGCTGCGGCTGTTGTTTTCGTGAAGCGGATGCTGGCGCTGCCGAAGATGATACTGATGTTGCTGATGGTGATTGTGGTGATACTGATT